AAGATTTAGTAGATACGAAGATAAAATAGGTTTTTCATTTTGAATGTCATTGGTCTAAGAACATAGGTTCATTCTACTGATCCTATTGACTTAGAATTAGGAAAATAATAAATTATTACAATATATTAATTCAGATTTCAATCACATTATGCTCATTCAATCAGTCTTTCATTAATAATAGTACATCAAATGAAATGCAAATGATCAGAAGTGATATTAATTATGAATTAATAAACTTTGTGCAAAGTAGCTACCAGGAATTTAGCTAATTAATTTCAGTTCATGCATTCAGGTAACAAAGTATTTTGTTGGCTGTCCATCGTGTATCAATCACAGAGCCTATCAGACGCATATCAATCACAGGGATTGACGCCTGTCAATCATAGTGCTAGAGGTCGTGGGAGCCTATCAGATGCAACTTCAGCAAACAGACCCTACACTGTCCAGAGACTAGCCAGCACAGGAAGAACCGTTTATATGGCTTGAGTCATCCGAGAGGCATAGCTGGGGGTGTGCATGCAGGAAGACAGAAAGGGGAGGGGCAGGAAAGGGAGGAAAGGTATTTAGAGGAAGAAGACCCTACTGCACCCTGTAGTCACTGGGCTGTGCTTTCAGAATAACTAACATTGGCCCCAGGGTGGACTCATGGCTCTCCCTCTTCTTGATGTGAATCCTTTGTGGTGGGGGGGGGGCTCTGGCCTGATTAGGTGAACCACAGCAACCCCTTCCTGAGAGGGGATGCTTAATTTTTAGGCTATAGTGATAACCAGAATGACAGAACCTAATAATAATGATGCCGGAAAAAAGTCAAGGCAAGGTCTCCCTGCCGCTCTCAAGCTGTTCTCTCTGCTTAGGCTTAATAGGGGGAGAGCAAAGGGGCTGGGCAACAGGGAGACAAAACGGCCTGAAGTGAGACTGACGGCAAAGAGGTTAAAAGGAAGCAGAAACTTACCCCAGGCCCCCTCTGGGCCCAAAGATGCTTAAGGCTCCCTCCAGCCCTAAGCCTAAGAGTTGCTGAATCTGAGATAATCCCAAGTACAGGGAGACAGGCACAGGCTACTGTGAGACCTCACACTACTCCTTCCAGAGAAGAAGGCGGAGGAAGGGAAAGTCATATTCTAACACACAACCTCCATAAGATGGGCACATACAGAGACCACTGGCACAGCAGCTCAGACGTCTGACTTAACTTGGTGCCTGCGACAGAAACCACATTAGCAAATAACTGAAATCATTTCGTCCATTTGTTTTCTCTGTGAGCCAGTCACCAACTTCCCGCTTTTTCACCTGTTACTTTGATGAGATTCTGAGACTGTGCTAAAACTATAAGCGATCCGCCGAGATAAGCGCACTGGTTTTTACTGGGCGTGGAGTCGAGGTAGTAAGAGTCATCTACGCAGTGAGCTGTGTGTCAGTAAGGCAGGCCTGGGTTTGCTGAGAGCAGCGGCTACCATGGTTTCTTCTCACTTGGGCTGCACGTCTATCCATGTGGGTCAGCACCGGAGCCTCTGTCCTTGTGGTCACCTATCTGTTGATCCTTCTCAACCCATGTTCCCATGATTGCAGGGATCAGGGAAGGAGAATGGGGTGACCCCAGGTGGCTCTAAAAGCTCCTGCTAGAGGCGACACCCTCTCTTCCACACGAGTTGCAGGGCAATGCCCAGCTTCCAGCGTTCCCATGTGTTGGAATGAGAGGGCAGAAGGTATTTGAGAGTGGCACAGTTGGTCTCCTGCAGGATCAGCCCTCCCCATTAGGCAAACTGCACATCTGTAGAAGGGGTCGGAGTCTTACCAGTGTTGAGGATCCCAGAATCACCCCTCAGGAGTCAGGGCAAGATGAAGACCCAGCTTGTGCAGGCTGGGTATCAGTCAAGGAGGCAGTGGTACGGTTCGGCTGTGTCCCTACCCAACTCTCATCCTGAATTGTAGCTTCTATGATCCCCGTGTGTCCTGGGAATCACCTGGTGGGAGGTAACTGAATCACGGGGGTCGGGCTTTCCGTGCTGTTCCCATGATAGTGAATAAGTTTCACCTCATCTGATGGTTTTATAAAGGACAGTTCCCCTGCACATGCTCTCTTGCCTGCTGCCATGTAAGATGTGCCTTTGCTCCTCCCCACCTTCCACCATGATTGTGAGGCCTCCCCAGCCATGTGGGCCTATGAGTCCATTAAATTCTTTACTTCTTATTCTTTATAAATTATCCAGTCTCAGGTACGTTTTATGTTATTTTTTTTATTTTTTATTTTTGAGACAGAGTCTCGCTCTGCTGCCCAGGCTGGAGTGCAACGGCACAATCTCGGCTCACTGCAGCCTCTGCCTCATGAGTTCAAGCGATTCTCCTGCCTCAGTCTCCTGAGTAGCTGTAGCTAGGATTACAGGCACGTGCCATCACACCCAGCTAATTTTTGTATTTTTATTAGAAACAGGGTTTCATCATGTTGGTCAGGCTGGTCTTGAACTCCTGACCTTGTGATTCACCCACTTCAGGTGTGTCTTTATTAGCAGAATGAGAACAGATTAATATAGGCAGGGACAGAAGGGACTCAGCTGGGTAGGAATCTGATCAGTCACTGTGTTATGAAAAATAGTACCAAGTCGTCTGTTCTTCTGAAGCCCCTGTAAAGGACAGGGACACACAGACTTGAGCTGTCAAAGCATAATTGTGCAGCTCTTCAGTGGCGAAGAAAGGGAAGAGGGGATGCCATGTTCCCAGGGTTTTGGGACACGTGGACCTTTGACTCCTGGGAGAGTGGTAGAGATGCCAGAGGAAGACGTTCTCATGGGCTGGGTATTTGGAAGAGTGCAGCTGGGTGCCTGGCAAATGCATTAATGCATGGAGATGCCACTCAGAGCTTACAAGGTGCAGGTGCACTGGTCTGCAGCCCATGGTGGAGGCCGAAGATCAGCAAGAACTGGAGCATGGAACATCTGAGCACTGCCCACCTAGCTATTCCCCACTTTCTTCAAAGGTCCGGGTGACTCTGTGAGACATTTTGCTGACTGTGTCTTCTTACATATTAGACAGGAATGGGGTGAATATGAAAGTGAGACACTCTGTAGTCTGAGCACCTGGCACAGGCACACTGTGATAATTCAAAGTTTGTTGCATGTAAACAACGAACGGGGTGCTGTCAGGGACCTCTGGCAATGGCTTCGTATGGAAGGCATTTTGCTGGGGCTGGGGTACCTGTGACCCCTGCCCTGAATCTGAGAAGAGCCAGAGTCACAGGAACAGATACCAGCCCCCCACACCACTTCCAAGGTTGGGAACATCTTTGAGGAGGATGAAGACACCGCATTCCCCAGCACACCCCTGGCAAAGACAACACACCCTCAAGTCAGATTCTACTTTAATAAACAGCAGGAGGTGCCTGTGACCTTCCCACAACTCCAAGTTGGGTCATTGTTAAATGATTTGAACTTGTTGAACTCATTTATTCGGAGAGTGAGCTTTCCCTTCATAATTTCTCCATGATCTTGTGCTCTGTGAGTTTCTTCATGTTTATTTTTGCTCTTGCTCTCAGCCCACAGATGCTGTCATCGCTGAGGTAAACCCTTGATCTAGAAATTTAGGCCAAATTATGATTTCTCTTTTGGCTTTTTAAATGTCACTTCCGAAGTGTTTATTATTTCATTTGTTGCTAAGATCCTAAAAGCTTGGGAAACAATAGATCATAATGAAATCAATCACCTTTAAAATAGGTTCATATCGGTGCTACTGTAATTGCATTTGACATTTTCCTTTAAACAAAGTTACACATTGCTAACAACTTAAATAAACCTTGCTCTTTGGAGATGGGATTGAAAAATGTATTGAGCCTATGATACAGGTGAGGCTGGCTGGGCAAGCTGAACTTCCTAACGTAAAAGCATGGAAAGGAGCAAACAAAAACAACCCATCTCTACAGCTGCTCAAATAGTTTTCCACTTACAGTGAGCCTGAGGCATTTTCTTTTAGAAAACCATTGTGGAAGACAGTGTGGTGATTCCTCAAGGATCTAGAAATAGAAATATCATTTGACTCAGCAATCCTATTACTGGGTATACACCCAAAGGTTTATGAAAACATTCAATTATAAAGACACATGCACACGTATATTTATTGCATCACTGTTTACAATAGCAAAGACTTGGAACCAACCCAAACGCCCATCAATGATAGACTGGATAAAAAAAAAATCTGGCACATATGCACCATAGAATACTATGCAGCCATGAAAAAGGATGAGTTCACGTCCTTTGCAGGGACGTGGATGAAGCTGGAAACCATCATTCTCAGCAAACTGATACAAGAACAGAAAACCAAACACCACATGCTGTTCTCATGATAATGAGTGAGTCTCATGAGATCTGATGGTTTTCTAAGTGTCTGAAAGTTCCTCCTTTGCTCTTCTCTCTCCTGCCACCTTGCGAAGGAGATGCTTGCTTCCCCTTTGCCTTCTGCCATGATGGTGAGTTTCCTGAAGTCTTCTCAGCCATGTGGAACTGTGAATTAATTAACCCTATTTCCTTTATAAATTGTCCAGTCTCGGGTATGTTGGTGGTGTTTCTGATGGTGTGGGTGATGATTGTGGTGATGGTTTTGATGTTGGTGATAGTGTTTCTAATGGTATTTTTGATGATGTTGTGTTTCTGATTGTGTTGGTGATGTTTATGATGATAGTGATGGTGGTGATGGTGTTTCTGATTGTGATGGTGATGGTTATGATGATGGTGAGGATGATGGTGTTGGTAATGGGGTGGTGCTTGGCTCATTTTACAGAGTAGGACCCACAACAAGAAAATCAAATGTCCATAAGCATATCAAAAGGGGTATATTCCAGAAGAAGGCTAAGGACCGGTACACTGATTTCCTGAAGAAGACCGAGTCAGTGTTTAGCTCTGTCTGTTACTGTTTGCCAGCATTCCTCTAAATAGCTATGGCAACTTAAAATTGCTTTGCATTTTGGACGTTGTATCATTAACTTTCTCCACCTCATGCCCTGTTCTCCCACTGCAAAGCAGGCTCCTTAGAAGATAAGATGGCCCCTTACTCTCTCTAACAAGAGACTTCCAAGAGTTATTTCTCTCTGATCTTGTTCCAGGAATGTGTCTTCCAAGAAGCGAGTCTGGATTCAACTTATGTCGACTCCTGGCCTGTCTCCAGTATGTTTTCCTGGCTGGAGCATCTGTTGACAGCTCAGAGCCCAATCCGTGAATCATCTCTAATGAATGTGCAGGATTTCTCATTTGCTTCTTGTTTTCGCTACCTTTCCTCATGTTCTGATTTCATCTTTCACTTCATTTTTTTTTGACAGTGAGGCAGCTTTTATTATTATCCTCATATTAAAAATAAGAAGGAGCATCAGAATTTCAGTTGCTCTTTCTGTGAAAATGGCAAGAGCACGATTCCAGTCTATTTTTGTCTGAAAATTATGAAGTAGATTTCTTTTAATGTTATATTTTAAGTTCCAACACCAAATTACTATAAGAACCTAAAGAAGCTTTGGATATTTAATTTTTTTCTCAGTTTAAAAGATGAATGTGTCTTTCTCCTTCATAGATGGCCTGTTATGATGAATTCAGCAGAATGTGACAAGTAATGCTAAACCTCTAATTTTCTTTTGTATTTAACTATAAAAATATTTTAATTAAGAAAATAAAAGTACTCACCCATCTTTTACCACCCTAACACACGGTTTACATTCTTACCTATTCTCTTCTAGATATTGTCCTTATGCAATTAAAATTGCACAAACACATTCAAGATCAATAATTTGTATTTTTGGTTTTTTACTATCGAGTTAGCCAATGTTTACTTTTTTCTAAAGTCCATATACTGCTACAATCCTCTTCAAATTCTTCTTGCAAAAGATAAAGAATAAGGGAATAAAGAATTATGGAGCTGGGCATGGTGGCTCATGCCTGTAATCCCATCACATTGTGAGGCTGAGGTGGGCAGATCACCTGAGGTCAGGAGTTTGAGACCAGCCTGGCCAACATGGTCAAACCCTGCCTCTACTAAGAGTACAAAAATTGTCTGGGCGTGGTGGCAGGCGCCTGTAATCCCAGCTACTCAGGAGGCTGAGGCAGGAGAATGACTTGAACCTGGGAAGTGGAGGTTGCAATGAGCCAAGATCACCCCACAGAACTCGAGCCTGGGCAACAGAGTGAGACTCCATCCCCCCAAAAAAAGAATCAATGGAATCTGGCTGGGTTCAGCGGCTCACACCTGTAATCCCAGCACTTTGGGAGGCCAAGGCCAGCAGAACACCTGAGGTCAGGCATTTGAAACCAGTCTGGCCAACATAGTGAAACTCTATCTCTACTAACAATACAAAAATTAGCTGAGCATGGTGGAGTGCATCTGTAATCCCAGTTACTTGGGAGACTAAGGCAGGAGAATCACTTGAACCCAGGAGGCAGAGGTTGCAGTGAGCCAAGATTGTACCACTGCACTCCAGCCTGGTCAACAGAGCAAGACTCTGTCTCAAAAAAAAAAAAAAAAAAAAAGAAAAGAAAATGTATGGAGCCTAAATTCAGCACTGGAATGTAAGACAAGGAAAAAGAGGAGTCAGAAGTCACACAGGGACCGGGCGCAGTGGCTCACGCCTGTAATCCCAGCAGTTTGGGAGACCAAGGTGGGCGAACCACAAGGTCAAGAGATCGAGACTATCCTGGCCAACATGGTGAAACCCTGTCTCTACTAAAAACACAAAAAAATTAGCCAGGCGTGGTGGCGCGCACCTGTGGTCCCAGCGATTTGGGAGGCTGAGGCAGAAGAATCACTTGAACCCGGGAGGCAGAGGTTGCAGTGAGCCGAGATTGTGCCACTGCACTCCAGCCTGGTGACAGAGCAAGTCTCCATCTCCAAAAAGACAAGAAGAAGTCACACGGTCCTTGCTCCAACGTTGTCCTCATGTCTCTGCCATCTGGAAATGCCATTCCTTCACCTGACAAACCTCCCAGATTCATTCTTGCCTCGCCATTTACTTTTATCCCTGCAAAGGTGAGGACATTGATTCCATGTTTCTAATTTTTCTAGAGATTCAGGGATCTGCTCAGCAGACCTGAGCAATCCAGTAGGCATCTGGGCTCTGGAAGGAAGTACAAGCCAGCCAGTTCCAGCAGCTTTTTCTCAAAGCCCGGAGCAGGCTCTGCTTCTGTAGCAGCTACTAGCATTTTCACGATGATAAACTGAGGCCACTCATCTCAGGTCTGACTGATGAGTAGCTCAGAATCACTCCAGCAGGAAAGCCTCCTGGACTCAGGCCGCCTATGTGAACACACACACCCATTCCACTCTCTCCTGGCCAGCTTGATTTCACTCTTCTTATTTTTCTTGGGCTAAGAAAAGACATTCTTTGCTGGATATAAATATCATGCATTTCAGAAAGTTCACATACAAAAATAACATGGATTTGGGATCATTACAGTTAATTTTAGTAAAAGAATTTTCTTTCTTTGTATTGTTTCTTGAATTCTTTAATGATCTTGGACATATGAACACAGACTTCCTGTTCTAATTATCTCAGGTATGAGGCTTGGGAGTCATAGTGTCCTGACTATTTCTGGAATTTAGACATAATATAGCAGCCTGAACATTCTCTCTGACAAGCCACAAAGAAGCAGATGGGAGGTGTTGTCACTGCCAGAGTGGGAGTTTTTGGCACAGCCCCAGAGACAGATGTGAATTTAAAAAATAAAAACCTTTTAGAAGGGAGATTTCAGACATGTGCAAAAGTACAAGAATTCTAATCACCCTGTGTTCGTATCACCCAGATCCTGAACTTCCAATTCACGGCTGACTTTGTTTCGTCCACACTCGGCTTAGTCCTTCCCCCTCTCTCCACTGTGGTTATTTAAAAGCAAATCCCGGAAATACTTTTTTTCCCCCCAAAGGTGCACAAGCGAATCCTCCAATCCAATGATTTGTGTGGCAGATTTTGAGGTTCCCTATTTCACTAAAACCACAGGAGCCATTGTGGCTGCGTGGACTCATCTTCCTGGGAGGTGACCGTCTCAAGGTTTCTTGTGCTGGGGTTTTGAAAATGCCACACTGTTTCCAAAAAGCAAAATTCTGTCATCTGTTGTGTCCATTTGAGAACACCTGCCATGGCCAGGTGTGGCGGCTCATGCATGTGATTCCAGCACTTTGGGAGCCCAAGGCGGGCAGATCACCTGAGGTCAGGAGTTAGAGATCAGCCTGGCCGACATGAAAAAAAACCCTGCCTCTACTAAAAATACAAAAATTAGCTGGGTTTGGTCACACGTGCCTGTAATCCCAGCTACTCAGGAGGTTGAGGCAAGAGAATCACTGGAATCTGGGAGGCAGAGGTTGCAGTGAGCTGAGATTGCGCTACAGTACTCCAGCCTGGGCAACAGAGTCAGACTCTGTCTAAAAAAAAAAAAAAAAAAGAAGAAGAATATCTGTTGATTAAGGGGCCTATCTAGAGGCTTAGGGAATGTTTGTCTCCCTGAGAAGTATTCACCTCCATGATTCTTTCAACAGTGAGTTTCACGCCTGCCTGTGGGTGTGTATGGGTTTCTACTCATCAGGCCGTGAATTCACATGTGTGTTATTCATTGACTGTACAAGCAGTGATTGAACAGTGACTGTTCCAGTCACAGTGGCAGAGAAGGCCAGCAGGGCCTCTGTTCCCGTGGGATTCGGTTCTAGTGGCCGGAACTGAAGCCCATGGGTGTAGAGGAAAGCCACGTGCTACAGAGGAAAGCCTCTTGCCTTGCAGTTCCCTGGCTTGCAGAAGAAGGGGGTTCAGGTGGAAACAGCGTTAAGAAGCCCTGTGGGGATGAGGTCCTGTTGTGCCAGCATGGGCGTTCTGTCTGTCCTGAGTTCTGTCTCTGTCACATGGGGGACCCCAGCCATCATGGAGGAGGCACCTGAGCTGAGAGCAGCCTCACTTTAAAAGCCATATTTGGTTAGAATTCAGGCCAGAGAAACAGGTGCCCCGTTGGCATATGACCCGGGTCTGTGGTGTGTGGGCCATCTGCCTGCCAGAGAGAAAAACTTCAGCCAATGTTCTGGCAACCGTGGGTCCCCCTCCCCTCCTTTCTGGGAATTGGGTTCATTTCTAGGGCGTCGTGGCTGTGGGAAGGGCCAGGCCTGTCATTTGTCACCTGGCCTGTCCTGGAAGCACCTTCTCTGTAGGGGTCCTCTCTGGTCAGGCCATAGGCCCACACCACTATCTCTTGTTCTTATCAAAAGGCTTTTCCACATCTCTCTCTCTCTCTTTCTCTCTCTCTCTTCTTCCCACTGCAGCCTCTATTTGGGGTATTGAGGAAATGACCCACAGCTTCCCTCTCCACCTGGGTGTGCAGAATCTCCTGGGGACTGCGTCTGGATGGACCAGCCACACATGTGGTGGCTTCTGTGCTGTGCAGGGCTTCCCCAGGGCTTGCCTGGGATGGTAGCCTTGGTTTCTCTGTGTTCAGATTCTCACATCTGTCAGGAATCCCATCATTTTCTCCTTGAGCCCCCAGGGGTGCAGAGTGGGGCCGATGTCCCTTCTCAGGAGCCCACCGGCATCGGGTGTCCTTTGTCTCTTAGGATGCTGTTTCTCTGTTTCCTTTCATTTAGCAAAACAGCTGGTCTGGAGGCAGGGGAACTGGCTTGTTCAGATAAAAACATCCTTCAAAACCCACTGTCTCTGCCTGCACCTCAGCGTTTGGAACTCTGGGGCTGGGAATTTGTGCCATTGTGTCTCTCTGGGCTGTGGGCTGTGTCATCCACTCCTGATGGGGTTGAGACAAAAACTCAGGGTTTCGGGGAAAGGCAGGGAAAAACTGCCGACGTATCAGAGCATTCCTCACAATGCATTTCGGATGCCCATGGTCCAAGTATAGGGCTTGGGAAAAATCATCAACTCAGTAAAGCGGGTCGTTCTATTTCCCTAACAGGCAAGGCTCTGTGCTAGCCTTCGTGGCAACTGGAAGATGAATCAGAGGCATTTCCTGGACTCCAGAGTGTGACCCAGTGGTGCCGGACGTGTATGTGGAATCACAGCCAGGGCAGACGTGTAAGTGAGGTCGTGGGAATGCAACCACGCAGACGGGAGCAGCCTCACCCTCACAGCTCTGCCATGCATTTGAGGCATAGAAAAGATGAGCAACTTGTCTATGCCACAGCCAACGACTGAAGAAGGTGATGGCCCACCCTGGGTCAGGGGCAGAGCCTCTCCGTGGGGATGGTTGGTCGGGGGTCACGAAGCCCACACTGGATGGAGACATGCTTTGGGACGACGCTGAGAAAGGGTGGGACGCAGAGAAGCCCCAACGTGTCAGGTGCCTGCAAGGGGCGTTACTGACCCCGGTGCCAACTTGGAGACGGCACCATCTAGATCCGCGGAGCTCCGTCTGCTCCTCTGCAGATAGAGCAGCCGAGGCACCTGCAGCCTTCGCTGGCCGGAGCTCGAAGCAGCATCTGCAGCGGGCAGCAGCAGAGGGCAGATGCTGGGGGCACAAGGGCAGAGATCCTGTGGTAAGCACAGCACTTACAGGATATTCCAGAAACAACCTGGTGATGCCGTGTCAAGTTAGAGAAAGAAAACAGGGCACAATAGGATCCAGGATCTATTTGCAAAATAAAAAAAATCAGAAGACAATTCAGGGACAATATTCACAGTACCTTTTCTCTGGCTGATAAAACCCTTGAGTGCTGTTTCCTTCTTTGTTCAGCTTATATTCCCCGATTTCATTCCACAGACACAGCAGATTTATAACCAGGCGCGTTTTTGGTCATTGAGTTGACAGACACAGCGCCCTTCCTGGAAGGCGCCTCCTGACCCCCTTCCCCTTGTGTCTTCACCTCCCTGAAAAGTGGATGCATTTTTGTACAGGGTGTATGCATCGGCAGCTCTATGACCAATCCGGTACTATCCTGCCGCATGCTGGGACACGGAGGTCATCTGTGTGGTCGTTCTCACGGTCACAGGTTCACATGGTTTGTCACACACGTACTTGGATCTGGTGTAGAGGGCTCCAGGCCTCCTGGATTCAGTACACAGTGATCCAGACATCTTGGATTTCATATAGAGAGTTTTGGCCTCCTGGATTTAGTACAGGGAGTAGCACATTTCCTGAGTTTGGTATAGAGGACTCGGGGCTCCTGGGTTTGGTATAGAGGACTAGGGGCTCCTGGGTTTGGTATAGAGGACTCGGGGCTCCTGGGTTTGGTATAGAGGACTCGGGGCTCCTGGGTTTGGTATAGAGGACTCGGGGCTCCTGGGTTTGGTATAGAGGACTCGGGGCTCCTGAGTTTGGTATAGTGGGATTCGGGGCTCCTGGGTTTTTTATAGAGGGATTCCTTGCAACACGTGTTGAGGTGGTCAAGGGGTACTTTTGGAAATAACTCATCGAATACAATAATTTATTTGGCAGACACATGTTGATATTTCTCTTAGGAAACAAAAGTGTGGACATAGTTTCTTATTTCTCACTGCAGCTTTTAGCAGGCATAAGAATTGGGTATCTCAGAGCAGAATAGGACTCAGGAGCTTGATGAAATATGAGAGATGGTCTAGCTCAGATGCTCTGCAGAAGATCGGGAGAGCTGTGGCCACACGTCCAGTCCCCATGGTGCCCACGCAGGCCGGAATGTGGGATCTTCATGCAGCGGTCCTGGCTCATGGCCTGGTGACATTCCCACCTCCAGCTCCGGCAGGAGAAAGTAAGATGAGGTATTCATGCATTTCCCTTTTCCCCCATGATATGCTCTCGGGCTACAGATCCTCTTGGTTTTCTAAAGGTTATGTTGACAAGTGTCTCTTTTTCAACATTTTAATTTGCATGTATATATGTGTATATATATTATTCTTAATCCACGGCTAGGCTTCTAGAGACAGCAGTTTTATGTCAACAATATTTAAATAAACTGAAACAGCTTCCACTCTCCCTCTATATGACAGAAATGCATTAAAGATCTTTGTATGATGGCATTTTGCAATTCATATATTCAGTAGCAACAACAATTTTCCTTCACAGACACAGGTTTATAGTTTCTCTATCACAATTTTCAGACTTTGCTGGGTAGGACTTCGTAATCATCATGATAAAACAATCTTCTGGAGACAGTTTGTGAGCCTTGACGAGGGACTGTCATTCCAACAAATAGTGATACGTTTTTGCTAAATAAAATATCTCCTGGGCTGGACGAGGTGGCTCACGCCTGTAATCCCAGCACTCTGGGAGGCCAAGGCAGGTGGATCACGAGGTCAGGAGTTCAAGACCAGCCTGGCCAAGATGGTGAAACCCTGTTGCTACTAAAATAAATTAATAAATAAAATCGCCTGTATTTCATTGAGCTGGGAATGCCCTAAGCATGAGGTGTTGCTGTCTCTCCTCTCCAGGCACCCGGAGCCCCGCTGACGACTGTCCATGTGCCTCTCTGGGGCCCCGCGGCGACCGTCCCTCTGGGCTGGGCTGCAGTGGTTGTCCCCCAGGGGCTCGCC